ATTAATATTTAATAAACATCAGTAATTGAATTCAGGCCAAGATTGTAGTTAATGTTCAGTTTCTTAATTTACTTTGTCTTTGTAATGGTATTAGTTCAATTAATGTCATATTATAGTTGATTCAAAACCATTTTCTACGTTTCTAATGTCAATTAATGTCACGACACTTGCAGATTATTATGGCAAGGAAGAGGAAGCCTGATCATCCATTATACATGATGTCCGATATGGTACGTAAGAGGACATCAGCGGCACCACCATCAGAGGAGGCATCACATCGACCATCATCAGAGGGGCCATTAGTGCCACCACTATCTGACCAGCCACTGCAGCGACCACTATTAGTGGCCACCATTAGAGGAGGCATCACAACAAGCACCATTAGTGCCACCGCATCGACCACCATCAGTGGCACCACGGCAGCTATCATCTACTCAGCCTCCACACCTACCATTGGTGCATCCACCATCAGTGGCACCACCATTAAAGGAGGTATCACAGCGAGCACCATTAAATGGGCCATTAGTGCCACCGCATCGACTACCATTAGTGGCACCACAGCAGCTATCATCTAAGGGGTGGATAGAGAAACAAGTACAATTTAAGAGTTCACACCTTGGGATGGGGGTTAGGTTGCTGCGCCATGCAGGTCCTGTGGGTTGCCTTAGCCCCTAAAAAAATTAGAAGACTTTTTTTTTTATTTTAATTTTTTGACTTTTTATCAATTATAGGATTATAAGTTGATTTTTTTATTTATTATGAAAAAATGTATAAAAAAAATTAAAAAATAATGTAACTCAAATAAGGAGTGTTTTGGAAAGTGACTTTCCCAACTTTTGACCTATTTCCTTCTCTCACAAAAACTTCAAAAAAAATCAAAAAGTAATTTTTAACCATTTTTTCAAAATACCATTAAATTAATAAGCTACGTTTTTTAATGCATTTCAAAAGAGGCCATGGAATACCATTCCAATATAAAAGAACCTTGCTACAAACCCTCAGCTGAGACAGACTCCCACCACCCCACATACACGTGGAGGACAGGGAGAGGATGAAATTTTTTTTTTTTTTTTGAACCAATCACACCCTATTAGGGCCTGGGGTCGCCCAGTGGGGTCTGCCGCTTTTTCCAATATAGAATACCATATATAACTTAGCCTATATATTTACAATGATTTTGATATGTCAATAATCATTGCTAGTAGGAGTAATCAAGTTCTACACTTCTCTCATGAAAAAAAAAAAAAAAAAGCAGAAAGGAAAAAATATGATAAACAGAAGAAAAGTTAGTGCCTTTACTCAACTATAATTATCTATCACTCTCCTACAAAAAGTATTATTATTATTATTATTTTTTGGATTATTTCAATTACAGAAGACATTAAAGAGTCTATTAATTTGTATAATACATTTGTGAAAGTAGGTTGGAATGATGGTGGCTCCGTGTGTAAGAGAAATTGCAAAAGTGAGGAGTGCGTAGAGATGGGCAAAAAAAAAAAAAAAAAACCAAATTTAAATTTACACATTAATTTTAATCTTTACACATTTGTGTATATGCACTACAACAAAAATCACCTTTGGCGACTAAATGTTTAGTCGCCAAAGGTCCATTTTTAGTCGCCAAAAGTCACTTTTATACCTTCCCCTCTGATTTTTTTTTGTCGCCAGTGTTGTCGCGAATAAATGGTAGCCCAAGGTTTTGGCGACTAAAAACGTTTTAGTCGGCAAAAAGTCAGGTCTTCAGCGACAAAACTTTTGGTCGCCAATACTCAATTCCACTTTTTCAAATAAAAAAAATTCAACCTTTGCTACTCCCAGGTTTCGAACAACCAACGTCCCAAACTCTGTAAACCTTTACCAACACTCTCCCCACTACGCCACAAGAACATCACATGAATATAAATGCAACATATATTATTTATATAATATATTGACCGATATTAATAGAAAACAATATATATATAAATAATTATTTTTATTTAATATATTTTACGAAAAAAATAAAGTATTTACTAAAAAAAATAGGGGAGCACTTTTGGCGACTAAATATGAATTTTAGTCGCCAATTCTATGCTTTTTGGCTACTAAATGCAATTTTGTCGCTAAATGCAGAATTTCCGCCCAAAAAAAACAACTTTCGGCGACTAAACTGATTTTTAGTCGCCAAAAGCTCCACTTTTGCCGACTAAACTCAGTTTTAGTCGCCATTTGTCCACTTTTAGCTACTAAATTTTTTTTAGTAGCCAAAAACCTTTACTTTTGGCTACAAAAAATTTGTTTGTCGGTAAAACACCTATATTCGGCGACTAAAGTATTTTTTAGTCGCCAAAACCTATAGTTTTGGCTACTAAATGCTTTTAGTCGCCAAAAACCGTGCCTTTTAGCTACTAAAATTTTTTCAGTCGCTAAAACTCCTATATTCGGCGACTAAACTGACTTTTAGTCGCTAAAAGCCCTATATTCGGTGACTAAAGTGCTTTAGTCGGCAAAAGTGCTCAAGTTTGGCGACTAAACTAATTTTAGTCGCCATTTGTACTACTTTCAGCGACGAAAATACTTATTTTAGTCGCCAATTCTGCATTTTCTTGTAGTGATGTAAGCTTTTCAAATTGCTACAATATATAAAGATTTTAGGAATTAATTTTTTTTTTCTAAAAAAGTAAAAATCTTGTTATAAAAAATATTTGAAGATCAATTATTTTCGTCACGAGCGTCATCGTTAAAACATCGTTCCGAAAAGTTTAAAAATTGACTTTTCGAAACTTTTTAAAAATGTTGCCAATAAATAAATTTTTAAGGATGAAAAAATTGGGTGCAAAAAAAGTTTAATTTTTTAGACAAATTTTGATCACAAAAGGATAGTAATTTATTAATAAATGTTTATTTTCGTTATTAAAAATAAATAATGATTTTTTTTATAACTAAATATTTCATTCTTAGAAAGTGATTTTGCCTATAAATTTTTATATTTAAAAATCATAATTTATTATATTTTCAAGTTGATAAAACATGAATGGAAATTCTATTATACACACCTGATAAAATATCATATCACTACAGTAAATTAAGATTTTAAAAATAAAAATTTAGTGACAAAATTACTTTTTAACAAAAAAAATATTTTAATCCCCAAAATATCATTATCATATTTTAAAAATTTTGTCACGGATTTTTTTATTTTTTTTACTTTTCGTGGCTGAAATCCGCCTGTTTTTATAACAAAAGTTTCAACTTTTAGGGATGAAAAAGTTGGTTGCTAAAATTCTTATCGACAATGCTACGTAACTCAAATTTTGTGGCTCAAAAGTGGCTCAATTGGCCAAAACGATGTCGTTTTGAGTACAGAACAACATAAAAATGGCCAAAACGACGTCGTTTTGGCCATTTGAGCCACTTTTGAGCCACAAAATTTGAGCTACGAGACATTTTCCAATTCTTATATGCTTTAATGTATGTATCTCTAGTTTCTATCATTGGATCTAAAAATATGAGTCTTAATAATTTATCATACTCACATTAATTCTTAACCAACAGTGATTACTTTGATCACAATCAAAATTACCATATTAAAGTTGTATATTTTAAGACAAACAAGTATCAAAGTAGGAGATCTAATAACCAATTTTGAATTAACAATTTAAGATAGGGAGTCACTACTAACTACTGTGGCCCTTCGATACAACAACCTTCGTTGAGTTCATTGACAACTCATTTTTATTATTTGAATAGTTCATTTTATAAAATTCATTGAAAATATTATGTATTCAAAAAATGAATTCGGTTGCATATCAATAGCAACATGATTGTCACATTTAGTTATTTATTAAAAAAATCTATTCAAAAAATTACGTTTGTTTATTTTTTTAAAAACAAATGTGACTCGATTATATAATTACTAATATTTAATTAATTTATTTTTTTTATGTCAATATCTCTAATTGATAAACTACATAAAATAAATAATTTAAATCATACTGTGTCAAAGAGCACCACAGTGGCTCCAATCTCAACATTTGCTAGTCACACCAGCACAATAATCTATAATCAAATCCCACAATATTTCATAATCAACACTAATTTAAATCATAAGAATTACAAGAAGCATAGAACATGGGTGGATGATTAGTGATCTACTGAACTTTTTCACCGAGGTCTCCCATACGCCAGACCGCACAAAGCACACAATCACACAAAACCAAAAACCAGATCATAGGCCATACCAACATGGCCTCCATTATTTTACCCCCAATAAGAAAATTGCAAACAAGTATTTAAAAAAGTCGGACTTCCTTCCAGTTTCAAATCGAATTGAGGTATTGTTGAGCTTATAGAGGCCCATCAAGTGTTCCATTTTGATAATTTAGACCGTTAATATATAGAACTCATTAAATATTATATTTCTACAAACAATCACGTTGATCGGATATTGATAACTAAGTGACCAAATCAGTTTTATATAAAAAAATAGACGGTGAAAAAATAAACGGTTAATAGAAATTCGATCCGATGAAACAGTTATCGATATCCGATTAACGTAATTTTTTACAAACATACAGTACTTGACAAATACTACATATTAAATGGTTAAAATTATCAAAACGAAACCCGTAACAAACCCCTTATAGATCCAATAATACCTTTCAATTTCATTTAAGATTGGAGAGAAACCGGCCCTATTTAAAAATAGCTAATCCTCATCTCCTAGCCTTTTTTTTGACATTATTACCAAACATGCTAATTTCTTCTAGAAGTCAGTGAGGGATGATGAGATGTCATATTTCAAAGGTTCTTCATGTGCCCTCCCTTCTCTCTCTCTCCCCTCTCCTTTTCTCTCTCTCATCAAGTTGTGCTCTTCCAGCACCACTATATAAACCTCTCTCATTGATCATCTACTATATAAACCTCTCTCATTGATCATCTCTGCATCCCATTTTCTCTTGCTTTTGCTTCCTTTTTAGTGTTTTTTGTGCTTCAAACTACACTATTCCCTTCAGGTGAAAATGGCCACAGTTGAGGTAACTCAAACTGTAACAATTTTTATTTTGGAGGTTTGATTAATATAAGATCTAAATTTGTGCACTTCTCTTGTAAACTCAACTTGTCTAATCCTCTTAGAGCTCTCTTCGTAAAGCCCTCTTTCTTCTTAATTTTGTTTTCTTTTATTCTACAATTAATCTTTCTGCTAAAAATTTGTTTGTACGATATCGATATTGATTAATTCATAGCTTCCACATAGCTCTTCTTCTTTCTCCCTCCTAACCCAGTTCATTAAAACTGTTGCCTTGGGTCCAACAATAGTACAGGAAATAATATGGAGTCAACTTCAGTAATTTGAATCACTCAAAACAATTCATGGAATCAAAAAAAACCATGCTACTTTAAATAAGAAATTAAGATCAAGATTGCTATTATATAAATAAAGTATATATTTAGCTCATTCTTATCTAATATATCATTTGATCATTTGGTGGGATTAATGTGGCAAGCTATGAATTTTATTGACAAAAATTATTGAGTCATGTAGGCAATACAAATTACTCAATCCAATGACATTTTTAAAGTAATAAATCACTTAGATTAGTTTATTGATTTATTTTTATATCTATTTTTAAATGATAAGATCAAATTCTGCCAAATCATTCTGTACAAATTTTATGTTAATTTTTATTTTATTTTATTTTTTTGGGTATATTAGGCTGCATAAGCACTATTAATATCGAGTTTTGTAAAATAATGATGTATTATTGATTGATATTTGATTGATCTATATGTTGTGTATATTACAAGGATTTATATAGGAGAGGATTTGGGAGTAGGTGAAGGTGGTAGTGGAGGTGGAGTGTAGTAGGTGAGGTGGAGTGTAGTAGGTGAGTGTGAATTTTAACAGCCCCCCGCAAACTCAAGGAGGATAGGAACTAACCAACTTGAGTTTGGAGAGAGGAACAAAACAAGAAAAGACATAAAAATAAAAAAAAAGATAGGAGACACTGTATGGTCGTGTCAGATCGTTGGTGAAGATACGGAAAGGTGGTGCCATAACGTGGTAGAGGACACTGGATGGGTGTGCCATAACGGTGTAGAGGACACTGTATGGTGGTGTCATAACGATGTAGAGGACACTGTATGGTGGTGTCATAACGTGGTAGAGGACACTGTATGGTGGTGTCATAACGTTGTAGAGGACACTGTATGGGGTGCCATAACGTTGTAGAGGACACTGGATGGTGGTGCCATAACGGTGTAGAGGACACTGGAGGGTGGTGTCATAACGGTGTAGAGGACACTGTATGGTGGTGTCATAACGTGGTAGAGGACACTGTATGCTAACCGGAATCAATGTCCGGACAGTTTATAGGGTCATGTCGGACCGTTGTAGAAGGCTAACCGGAATCAAATGTCGGGACAGTTGATAGGGTCATGTCGGACCATTGGAAAAGCTAACCGGAATCAAATGTCGGGACAGTTTATGGGGTCATGTCGGACTGTTGAAGATGCTAACCGGAATCAATGTCGGGACAGTTTATGGGGTCATGTCGGACCGTTGGAAAAGTTACACCCTCAAAAGGTGTGTCCAATTTTTCAAAAAAGGCGTGCCATCAAAAGGCGTGCCCAATTCATCAAAAGGTGTGCCGGACATGATGGCGAGGCACGTGGGCGCCTTGGCTTGCGTGCCCGTTTGTCGGCTGGTGGCAAGAGGCGCGCGATGCGCGTGGCTGCCGCTTCGGCAGGGTCTTTATAAATCGAAGCGGAGGCTGAGGCTTGGAAGCATAACAAACCAGTCTGAAACCTCTGAAAAAAAAAAAACTTCATTGTGCTGAGAGAGAGAGTCTGTAACACTCAGTTGCCCAGAAAATGGCCTCGTCCTCGTCTTCCCGTGGACTGCTCACCCTCTTTCCCGACCTCAACGAGTCAACAAGAGAGAGAACTGGTGCGGTGGCCAGTGAACCTCAACAAACACCGCTGGTTTTGCTCCGTTGAACTTTCCGATGCGGTCTGTGGAGCAAAAAATGGCAGGGCAAACAGATATTGAAGCAATCAATATAACTGAAGTCATGTGTGGAAACCATGACTGCGGTTACAAATTGTCGAACCGGCTGCAGAGTAGAACAAATGAGGTGCAGCATTTGAACGGCCAACTGGCTCTGCTCAACGCATGTATAAGGATGCGCGAGCAGAGATAAGTGTGTTGAAAGCAGAAAATAAGGAGCTGAAGCGGAAGGCCACCGTGATGTTCCGATTTGGAGGGCCGCCATATGCTGCAGTGGAGGAGCAGGGAGGAGGCAACTTGCTGGTGGTCTAGGAAGCACGGAGGCAACACCGTCAAGGGCCCCAGGATGGAGGCAAGAAGAAGAGACGCGGCGGCAGAGTAGAAAAATCCCGCCTGTGGATGTGTGTTGTTGAATGTTGTTTTTTTTTTTTTTTTTTTTTTTTTTTTTTTTTTGTGGTGTAAAATGGTGATCGGGGTGAGCCCCGACATGAATAAAATAAGGTCGTCTTCTTCCTCTGTGTTGTTTTTTTTGTTTTGTTTTGTTTTTTTTATTTTTATTTTATTATTATTTATTGTTTGTTTTTTTTTTTTTTTTTTTTTTTTGGTGGAAAAGGAAATAAAAGAAAGAGTGGAAATATCAGAAGGCGTGGGAATCGGAGAGCGAATAAATGGGATATAAAAAAAAAAAAATAAAAAAAAATAGACAAAAAGGTAGTGGATTGAAATAGTAAATAATAAAATAAGAAGAGAAAGTGTACTGTGGGTGTTGGTTTTGTAGAAGAATAATAAGAATAAGAAGAGAAAGTGAGGTGTGCTTGAGTGTTTTGGGTGCAAAGAATAAGAAGAAGAATAATAAAAAAAAGGTAGGAATGGGGGAATAAAATAAAAGAAAAGGATGATGGGGGCAAACTTTCGGTGGCTTGGTAAAAGATGGAGGAAAACAAAGATAAAAAAAAAGGAAAAGAAAGGGGAGTGGGGGACAGGAGGGCATGGATGATGTTGGGGTAATATAATAATAGTAATAAAAAAATAAAAGGTTAAACCATCAAGGAGTGAAACAGGGAGAGAAGGTAGAGAGAGAAACATTGATCAGCAATGGGTTCGTTGTCAGCACAGCGCGGTGAAAGCTCCGGGTGCCTATAAGCACTACAAACCGTGTTCGGGTTCGTCGAATCACAACCAGAAAAGGAACTGTGCTGATGCGGAGGCGGCGTCGGTGTCGGAGAGGATTCAGCGCTCTTACCGAAGAACTGGGAGCTCTAGCCCGACGCCGAGGCTGTGGGGGAAGGAAATGGAGACGAGGCTGAAGGGGCTTGCGAGCGGCGAAGCCACGCCGGCTTCTGGTAGTGGCCGAACCGAGTCGGTAGTGTTCATGGAGGAAGATGAACCTAAGGAATGGGTTGCGCAGGTGGAGCCTGGTGTTCGTATCACTGTTGTTTCTCTACCGCAGGGTGGGAATGATCTGAAGCGGATTCGATTCAGTCGTGAGGAAACAAAGAAAGAAGATTTTCTGGTATGTGTTGAAAAAAAAACTCCAGCGGGCAGCGAAGGCAAGGTTGCCGGCCGGCTGCCCGCCGGAAAAAAAAGGGTATAGGCCTAAATCTTATGGCTCTGATACCATGTAAAATAATGATGTATTATTGATTGATATTTGATTGATCTATATGTTGTGTATATTACAAGGATTTATATAGGAGAGGATTTGGGAGTAGGTTTGTTATTTTTTTGAGATTTCATGTCAACATTCAAGCCTAGGGCTTAACTTGTAATTGAGTTAGTACTCATCCTTTTTGTGTCCAAGTGTTAGCTTGGAACGATGTAAGCCCTTAGGGCATTTATTTTGATGTTGCAGGATGTTACATGTGATGTCTTTCAATAAGAATACTCTGATGACTAACTCAAATGATTCATTTTCTTTTATAAATGCATGTTAATGTTATGGTTATTATGGGTTTATTTTGAGGGCGTTACACGCCGCAACAGAGGAACCAGCTGCTCCAGAACCCGAAACCCCAGCAGCTGAAGTCGAGGCCAAGGAGGAGAAGGTTGTGGAAGAAGTAGCTGAGGTGGTGGCAACCGAAGAAGAGCTGGTTGTAGAGAAGAAAGAAGAGGTGAGTACTCCTAAGGTGGCACCAGAGCCAGTTGAGAAGGAAGTTAAAGAAACTACAGAGTCTGTCAAGGCACCCAGCCGGTGATTGAAGCTCCTAAAGATGAAGTTGTTGTTGAAAAGGAAGAAGAAAAACCAGTTGAAGCTGAACAGAAAGTTGAAGCAGAAGCAACAGCTGAGAAAACTGAGTAGTAAAAAGCCTATGGAAGTGTTTTGCTTTGGCTTTTAGTGAAAGGTTTGTGCATGTAGTAAAGGGCATGTTAGGTTTTCATCATGTTGGGTTAAAGGTAAGAGTTTGGTCCAATAAGGGTAGTTTGGTAATATGGGGCTTGGAATCTAGAAAATGAATGGGACCCATGTGGATCCCACTTGGATCGTATGTAGCCAATGTCGACCTGCCACTTGGAAAGATGTATGAGAGGGATTTATATTGATATGTGCCACATGGGGCATGGTTATTGGTTTTGAGACGGTCTGGTCAGTTCTGTAATGATACTTGTATGTTGATACACAAGATGTGTTATGTTATTTTGACTTATTATATATGATGTTGTAGCACTTAATTAATTGCCCTGCTTATTTCCTCCCCCCTTTTAATTATTAATAAGATTGATTGCATATGTTCACAAATATTCATTTATGCAGAATCACCCAATATATATGCATAAACAATATTCAAGGATTAACCATTCAAAAAAGTTCATCAACACTAAAGTTGTGCTAGTGACGAATTTAAGATTCTAATATGGAAGGCAAAGATACATATAATTGTTAATTAAAAAATTTTCTAAAATTTTATTAAAACATAATATCCCCAATTCTTAATTAAAAAACGATTTGTGTTTGGATCAACATATCCTGCATAGCTATAGATATCGTTCTCTCCTTTTACCAATTCAAGTGATTACAAATCTACTCTTTTATACACCTAAACAATTCATGTTTTAATCACCTAATAATTAATTAGTCGACCCAACTCAGCTCGTTTGCAGTCCTAACTTTAAGAAATTACATTATGCTACTATTATTATTACTATTATTGATATAATTGTATAGTATTTAAAAATAAAAAATAAACATTCATTTAAACAAAAAGTGAGAATTAATTTTCAAAGGACAGTTCCAAAATCTTATCGTTTCATTAACCCCTAATTTCATGTATCTTTTTGTATGTGTCATGACTGCGCATGTATTAATGTATAGAAACAATTTGATCAAGTCAAACATTCATGGATGCCTATTATTTTCTTTTTGTTAACTTGTACAACTATTATCTCACATAAATAGATTCTTGTTACAACAATGCATAACATTTTTTTATTACTATTTTGCATGGTAACTTTTCCCAACATTTGCCTATAAAAGATCGAAATCACACCCTTCCATAAGCACAAAAAGTGAATCAAAATGGCTCTTTCCAAGATTTCACTAGCCATTGTTTTCTTCATGGCCTTGACCATGGCCCACCACTCCCTAGCCCAAAATTCCCCACAAGACTTCCTTGCAGCGCACAATGTTGTTCGAGCTCAAATCGGAATCAAGCCTCTTGCATGGAACAACACCGTAGCCGCCTATGCTGAGAACTATGCTAAATTGAGGAGTGCTGACTGCAACTTGCAACATTCAAAAGGCCCATACGGGGAAAACATTGCAGAGGGCTCAGGTGAATTTACAGCGGTGGATGCGGTGAAGATGTGGGCGGACGAGAAACCAAAGTATGACCACAATTCGAATTCATGTGTTGGAGGAGACACTGCAGGATGCCTACATTACACTCAAATTGTTTGGCGCAACACAGCACAAATTGGTTGTGCTAGAGTTCAGTGTCAGAATGAATGGTGGTTTGTCACTTGTAACTATTATCCACCGGGAAATTATGTGGGTCAACGTCCTTACTAAGATGGTTTTTTTTTTTTTTTTGGCTTACAAACGGATGTACTACGAAGCGATAAAACTTTCAAATTTGAAACATAACTCATTTGAGTAATATTAAGGGATGCCTGTGTTACACTCAAATTGTTTGGTGCAACACAGCCCAAATTGGTTGTGCTAGAGTTTAGTGTCGGAATGAATGGTGGTTTGTCAATTGTAACTATTATCTGCCGAGAAATTATGTCGGTCAACGTCCTTACTAAGATGTTTTTTTTTTGTTTTTTTCCCCCTTATTTTTTTGTCTCACAAACAAATGTACTACAAAGTAATGAAACTTTGAAATTTGAAACATAACTCGTTTGAGTAATATTAAGGGAATAATTAATGTGAGTTATTTATATAGCATTACTCATTCTATAATTAGTAGCAGACGAGTTATTAAATTTTATGATTTATTTTTTCTTATTACAAACTAACTGAGCAATGAGACACGTGCAGTTAAGCTGCACTGGGCTTCTTGAGCTTCTTGAGGCTGAGTAGGTGGTGCTGATGGAGTAACCACTACAAGAAAAAGGAGATATGATGGCGTTTTTTTAATGACGTTTTTTTAAACGTCACTTTTATTAACATTTAACGACGTTTTTTAAACGTCGCATATTCCTTCAAATAAAACGACACCATTTTATAATAGAAGGCGTTGAAAAACGTTTCCAAATCCGTTTGCCTCACGCGCCTCCTCTCTCCCTCTGTTTTGAAACCCTTATTTTGAATCTGAGATGTTAAACGCATAGATCTCGAGCGAGCGATCTCTCTCTCTCTTTCAACCCTCTCATTCTCAGAGCCCATTTTGAAGCTGAGAATGATTGTTAAAGCCTATTGTAAATCCTTATTTTGAATCTTCACGCCTTCAAATCGCGCCTCTCTCTTGCTCACCCCCAATTGCTTTTAAATCCTTGAGAGCGATTTTGATTCAGAGTGATTTTCTTTGAGATTCAGATTCATACAAGTTCATCTTTGAGATTCAAAGGGATTTCGATTTCATCTCAAAGTGATTTAGATTTTGAAGATCTCTCTCTTGATTTCAAAGCTCCACCGACTCTCTCTTTCTCTCTAGATCTGATTTCATCTTTGGCTGTGCTTGATTTTTCAAAGATTCATCTTTGAGATTCAGAGATTCAGATCGGTCTCAGAGATCTCAGATCGATTTCGATTTTGAAGTTCTCTCTCTCGATTTTGAAGCTCTACCGCGACCACCATCTTCACCGCGACCACCATTTGCACCAGCGAGGTATTGATTTCTCTCTCTCTCTCTCTTTCTTGCTTGCTCTTCCTTCCTGTCTCTCTCGATGTGGTTATTGAAATTTTGAGCAAGAAACTACAAGTTTAATCAGGATTTGTGAAATGAAATGAATGTGCTCTAGGTATATTCTTGATAGTGAGTTGGTGACTAAAGGAGGAAACTTATGGTCCACTCCTGAGATGTTTTTAATCAACATGGAGATGGTACAAGAATTTGTATATTTCTGTGAAGCTATCTATGAGGAGAATCCGAATTCACTATTAAGATTAGCTTACTGTGAGATGATGCTTTGGATTAGAGTTAATAATGAAAATAAAATAACAGAGCTCTGTGATTATATTGCAACTAATGATGATGGTGACAAACCCAACTTTATTTTTAAGCTGTGGAAAATACTACTACACACCCATCTCATTATTTTTGGTTACTTGTCCTAAATTCCATGCATATTCTTCTAGTTATTGTTGTAATAATAATGTAAAAAGCTGTAATAATCCAATTCATTAACCCTACACTTGTGGTAAGGTAAAACTACATGCCTGATTTTATATTTGCAAAAGTGGTAAACTGGACGAGTGATTGTGGAAACTAAACTACACATCCTTGAATTCATTAAACAATGCATGATAAATGCACTTGTGATAAACTGGATGCCATTTTTGGAGTAGTTCTGGCTCACTTTCATATTTGATCTGGTATAGCTTGTTAGTTTGAATTCTCTAGTATCCTTAAATTTTTTGTGCTGATACGTCCATTTTTGATGATGTTAAGCACTGGAAAATACTATCACACCATTCTCGTTCATCTTCTATGGTCTTCACTTTGTATTCCACTTGATACAGTGAGGAGCACCTAACCACCTTGGAGAGGGGACTTGCTTAGGTGAAGGGCTGGATGCTTGTTCAGTTTAATGGCAAGGGATATAGCATAAGTTTTTTGTGTCATGTTTGAGGTGCATGTTAAGAAACTGCTTATGATTTGTGTTCCATATCTTGAATCAGAACTGATCTTGTGGCTGCCATATCTGTTACGTGATGCTAATTTTTTTTTTCTGTGAATTAGGTACATCAGTGAATTAGTTTTTTGTGTCATGTTAAGAAACTGCTTATGATTTGTGTTCCATTATCAGGCACTTCTTCTGGAGGTATGTGTACTAATTATGAAAATAAGAAAAATATTACTTATACTACCATTTGCACACTTAGATATTGTGAAAGTGCAAATTCAATATTGCAGTGAGTTTATGAGCTTTCAATTTGAGCAAAAAATTGATAGAAAATTCATTCAAATAGAATCATCATTCTACATTGTAAGGGAATGGTCATTCTAATGGGATGCTAAGTAATGATTATTCCATTCCATTCTGCCTTCATTTCAGTGAACCAAACACCGTCTTAGAGTATATGGACTCATCAAATGGGTGGACTGAAACATGTTTTCTTATTTCCTACTAAACCAAATGGTTCCTTTTTTATTTTTATTTTTTATAGATACTTACTAAATGTTTCTTTTAAGATCCAACTACTGTTACTAAATGGAGTTGTTATGATGGATAAATATTCTATTCTTAAGCTACTATTGAAACTAATAGTTTCAATTGATCAAATGCTTTTGTAGTTTGTGATATTAGTTGAAAAGTCCCTATTAATAACTGAGATTTGGATTGCAGGCCCATTAGTAACCTTTGTTTCTGCCTTCTCTCTCTGCCACTGTTACAGATCACCCGGTCCAGGGCCCAAGAGAAATCCCTCCTACCTAGAAGTTGTTCGGACGATTTTAGGTGAGAGTTCTTAGTTAAAATAAACGATTATCACATCATATCCCTTTTTAAGGAAAGCAATTCTCTTGATATTCCATTTTTCAGCAACAACTCAGATCTTTATTTTATAGAATTACATTAAAACTAACTTTGTCTTCTTTATTTTTTGAGTAATGCTATACAAATATAAAAATTATACAGTATTTTTATTTATACAAATTGATTGATGTAGTTGAACCGAGATTGTGCTCATTTCAAAATATAACAATCATTAAGTTGACTCTTCATTTCAAAAATGTCATATCGCCACATCATTCTGTGTGCACATTTTTCGTATACAGAATAGACATTTTTTTTTTTGCTGAGACTGAAGTGTTAACATTCTTATGTTAGTTTTGCTTGGAGTCTATCACAACATTCTTAGTTAGAATTCCACGCCACTATGTAATTCTCACATAAATTTCCCTTAATTAAGAAATGTTTGGTAATATACCAATTTTAAGCAATTCTGATGCATATAAAAGGTAGCCCATGATCATATGCATACAGTGACGTTTTTTTTTTTTTTTTTATGACGTGAGCTTTATGATAGTCATTTTAGCATCTCTGACTTTTGTTTCTCTTGGTTGCAATAATATGGAACAATACTGTTGTCTTATTGTCTTATTACTCATCTTTTGTTGGGATGTTATTGTGAGTTGGGTGAAAAAGAAGACAGGGCCTGGTATATACAACCTATCGATTTAGCCATCTTGACCTTGTTTCCATATATATATATATCTAGTCTTACTCATGCGAGGAATGTCTTGTTTAAGACTTGAAGCAGTGCCAGTGGATGAGGGATATGCAGGGAATCGAAGTCTGGCCAGTCATCTTCCATACGTCTTACTTCATTTCAATGAGACAACGTAAGGGTGATAAATGATCAGGGTTTTGGAGCGGAAAACAATAATCACTAAGAAGTCTACTACTTACCTCTATCAATGACGTTAGGTACACAATTATTATTGTTTTTTTTTCTATTGATTAGACTTAAGGTTTTGGGGTTTAGATTTCTTTTGAAATCCCACATTTGCAACATTCACTTTAGGGATATACACCATTTATTTGCTCATTCATAACTTTTACTATAAAATATTATAACTAACGCCACAAAGTGGCATAGCATGTCTTAGAATGTGCCTTTCTGGGTGCACACCATAGATATTTCTCCATTCACCTACTTTTGACTTTGTTATTCTTATAAATAAACTTGCAACACAACCATTCCAATATATAGAAAATCCATATATGTTTTCCTTAGAATTGAGTTCTGCCTTGGTTGTCCTCCTGCTAAGTCAAATATTCCTGTAATGACAATCACTGGACACCCATTTGACTTGCTTGTCTGTTAAACCACCAATGTAACCCAATTGCTATATTTGCCCACAAATCATCTTCTTCTCTTTTTTTTTAGTGATGTAATTTTTTGAATTATGTTGTTCAGAATATGTCAGATTATCACACACTGAAGTGGCTAACAATGACTTCGACAAATTAGTACTAGTGGATTCCTGAAATGCCAACTTAATGATGCCTTGCTTAAACTGACATATTCTGAACTACATATACAGTAGGAAGTAGTAAAAATTAAGAAGATTTAGAGAGTGATTAACCAATAAGTTGGAAATTAAGAAGCATTTACCATCACTACAGCTGCACTCTCCATGTCAATTGATGAAACTTGAAAAGTATTGAAAAGAAAGTACCTGTATGCTGCATTGTCCACAAAAATGTTGGCGGTTAAGCCCCGGTGTCCAGCTACTAGTTTGGGCTTTTAAGGAAGGCACACACTTGAGTTCACACATTGTTCTATTTCTATCCCTTGCAATAACACAACTTAGAACTTGCAAACTTTAGAAAAAAAAAGGGGGCTTTGTGTAGGCTAAGTTTGGTTACGATGACCGCAAAGCAATGGAAAGTGTGAGATTCAAAAAAATGGAACTTTTTCTATGTTTGCCCCTGCTTATTTTTTCTTTTCTTTTATTTTCCAGAACTACTCCTCAATCATTTCCGTCCATCCAGAAGTCATTGATGGAAGACCAGGGACTCTGGTAATAGAATCCTTTGTAGTAGATGTGCCTGAGGGAAACACCAAGGATGAAACCCCCCTGAGGTCTTCTGCTGAAGTGAAAAATAAGGATGGAGTATAATCAAATGCTTAATGTGTTTCTGAATTATTTTGTTTCTAATTTTGACAGAATTAAGCTCTATTTATTTATTGTTATGCAGATCTAAATTTATTTATGCTATGAGGACATTATTTATTTAATTTTACATGATTCTCATCTGTGTCTGTATTGTCTTTGGGTATGTCCTTTTCTTTATATGTATTTAGTGCTTCTTTGCATTTATGTTGTTGGAATTGTAGTGCTTCTTGGTATGTGATAAAATCTTCTTGTTAGTGTTTCTTCAAGTTTTAAGTACTGTTTATAAGTATTGGGTACAAATTCTTCAAATTGTGTTTATTTTGGTGAATCTGATTGTAGTTTATGTTCTGATGCAGACATGTAGACCAGTGAAGACTATAACTTTTATGCTGAGACATGATTTTTGGATATATGTTAGTTTGTGGTTAATGTTAAGACATGATTTTTGGATATATGTTAGTTTGTGGTTAATGTTAAAACATGATTTTTGGATTTTGGATATGTTAATTTTGTGGGTAATGGTGATTGGATATTAATTAAATGAGAAAGTGAATTAATGCTTCATTACAGCTATTTGAATGGGAGTTATTATTTTATATTAGTGCTATTACAGATATTTTTTTAGTTCAATCAAATAAAATTAGCACAATTTCAAAAAAGAAAAAGAAAAAGAAAAAAAAAAGGGATATGACGGCGTTTCTACAAACGCCTCTTGAACCCTACATACTAACGGTCATGTTGTTAAAAAAATATATGACGGCATTTTTTCAACAACGTCGCTAAATATCGTCAGTGACGTCACCTGTGTTTTGGTAGGACATTTGGCGGCGTTTTTAAACGACGCCGCCTATACTAATATCACGACGTTTTTAAAACATCATAAAGTTATAGCGACGGCCGCGTCCTCTGCGTTTGGTGCTAAGTGTCACAAAAAGAATTGGCTGCGTTTTTGACACTTATAGCGGCGTTTTTTAAACGCCACTAAAAGTTGAATTTCCTGCAATGAACCTTATCATTCCCCTTCAAACGCGTAGGACTAGGAAGGACTAAGAGTTTGCTTTGAAGATACTGAAAACGAGCCACTGATAGAGGCTTAGTGAATATGTCTGTAACCTGATCAGCAGTAGGAATATAAACAATGTGTAGTGTCTTGGCAGCAACCTTTTCTCGAACAAAATGATAGTCCACCGCAATATGCTTCGTACGAGCATGAAAAACAGGATAGCAATGGCTGAAAGGTTATCACACCACAGAGTAAGAATAGGGGCAGGGACATGAAGCTCAGCAAGTAACATGCCAAGCTAATTGAGCTTAGTTGAAGTCTGAGCTAAGGCCCTATATTCTGTTTCTGAAGAAGACCGGGACACAGCAGGTTGTTTCTTAGCAATCCAAGAAATGAGATTGCGACCAAGATAAATACAGTATCCAATGGTAGATCTCCTATCAATTGTACTACTAGCCCAATCTGAATCTAAATAGGCATTAAGAAGAAGAGGTCCTCGAGAGAAATGCAGACCATGAGCCAAGGTGCCTTTCAAATACCTGAGCAATCTTTTGACAGCAGCAAAGTGACAATTTATGGGAGATTGCATGAATTGACAAGCAGTATTGATTCCAAAGGCCAAATCTGGTCGAGTGATAATGAGCTATTGAAGAGCACCTACTAAGCTTCGATAAAGGGAAGGTTGGGAAAAGGGTGAGGCATCTTTAGAAGAAAACATTGGAGCATTTAGAAGCCATAGGAGATGCATAAGGCTTGCAATTACTCATGCCATCTTTGGCTAAAATATCTGAAGCATACTTGTGCTGAGAAAGAAAATATCATGAGAAGGACTTGGTGACAGAAATGCCTAGAAAGTAATTAATGAAACCAAGTTCTTTCATGGAAAATGTGGCATGCATTTGTCGAATGAAAGATTGAATGTAAAGAGGGTCACTGCCTGTAAGGAGAATATCATCCATGTAGATAAGAAGGATAGTTATGAAAGTAGAAGTCTTTTTGACAAACAAAGAAGAATCACAGTGACTGGCAACAATGTTTAAAGAAAAAAAAAAGTAGAAAATGTAGAGAACTAAGCTCTAGGGGCTTGTTTTAAGCCATAGAGAGCTTTGTTTAATTTGCAGACAAGTGAAGGCTAATAGGGATGAATAAAACCCTGTGGTTGAACCATGTACACAACTTCCTCTAGAACACCATGCAAAGAGGCATTGGAAATATCAAGTTGTTTAATTGGCCAATCAAAATGAAGAGCAAGACGTAGAAGAACCCTGATAGTAGGTTGTTTCACCACAGGACTAAAGGTTTCATGATAATCCCCACCTTTTTTTTGAAGAAGACCTTTTGTTACAAGTCGAGCCTTATATCTGGCTATGGTGCCATTTGAATTTTTCTTCAATCTGTAAACTCATTTGCAACCTACAGCTTGTTTACCAGGTGGAAGAGACATCAAAGACGAAGTGGCCTATCTTTGGAGAGCCTCATACTTACTAAACATAGCAGCTTTCCAAGCAGGAGAAACAACATCTTCTTTATAGGTTTAAGGTTCAAAATTATCAATGGAGGCAGTAAAACAAGTAAGAATTCTGGTCTTGGATTTGGTAAGCATAGGATGAGTGCTGGTAGGAAGACAAGGAAGATCAATAAAAATAGAGGAGATAGGAATTTGAGATTCAAAAGTAGGAGGCCGATTTGTTACAAATATAGAAGGTGAGGAAGCTAAAGATGGAGGAGAGTTAGTAAAGGCTTTTGGAGAAAGAGGAGAGGTAGGAGAAGACATTGGAAAAGACTTCAGATCTGAAGAAGAATGCCAAAAGAAATCAAGAAGAGTAGATATTGAGGGAGTAGAAACTGAGAAAGAAGGCTAAGATGAGGACTGGAAAGGAAATAAGGATTCATCAAAGACTACATTCCTATAGGTATAAACTTTCCCTGTTTGAAGGTCAAGGCATCTATATCCTTTGATAGAAGGTTGATATCCAAAAAACACACAAGGAATAGACTTTGGTTGAAGTTTTATGAGAGGTATAAAGCTTAAGCCAACGATAACATCTACAACCAAATGTCCTTAACAACTGATAATCAGGCTTGTGTTTCAACAAAACTTCACAAGAAGTGAGATTATTCAATTTGAGAGTAGGATGCCTATTTACAAGAAAGACAGATGTAGCAAGAGCATCAAATCAATAAACCAAAGGAAGAGAAGAGTGATGCAAAAGAGATGTATATATATATTTACTATAACTTGTTCTTCAATAGATGTGTAGTTAATATGATTTGTATCAATCTAATAATCTAATTACCATTTTTGAAGGAAAGAAATTAGTATTTCACTAATTATTCCCTTATTATTGGATCATTATTCACGTTGTGTCAGCTATATCAGCACTTTCAGAGGAGATCACTAAAGAGGACCCAACCAAGGCTGAAGAGACAACAACCATAGAAGAGGCAGTGGCTCCACCACCACCAACAGTGGCTGAGCCACCAACAGAAGAAGAGAAGGTAATAGAAACAGCCGCCGCACCAGAGGAACCATCTGCTCCAAAACCCGAAGCCCCGGCCGCTGAAGTTGAGGCCAAGGAGGAGAAGACTGTGGAAGAAGTAGCTGAGGTGGTGGCAACCGAAGAAGAGCTGGTTCTAGAGAAGAAAGAAGAGGTGAGTACTCCTAAGGTGGCACCAGAGCCAGTTGAGAAGGAAGTTAAAGAAATTACAGAGTCTGTCAAGGCACCCGAGCCGGTGATTGAAGCTCCTAAAGATGAAGTTGTTGTTGAAAAGGAAGAAGAAAAACCAGTTGAAGCTGAACAGAAAGTTGAAGCAGAAGCAACAGCTGAGAAAACTGAGTAGTAAAAAGCCTATGGAAGTGTTTTGCTTTGGCTTTTAGTGAAAGGTTTGTGCATGTAGTAAAGGGCATGTTAGGTTTTCATCACGTTGTTGTGTTAAAGTTAAGATTTTGGTCCAATAAGGGTAGTTTGGTGATAGGGGGCTTGGAATCTAGAAAATGAATGGGACCCATGTGGATCCCCCTTGGATCGTATATAGCCAATACCAACCTGCCTCGTGGAAAGATGTAAGAGAGGGATTTATTTTGATATGTGCCACATGGGGCATGGTTATTGGTTTTGAGACGGTCTGGTCAGTTCTGTAATGATGCTTGTATGTTGATACACAAGATGTGTTGTGTTATTTTGAATTATTATATATGATGTTGTAGCACTTAATTAATTGCCCTGCTTATTTCCTCCCCCCCCCTTTCAATTTTTAAAAAGATTGATTGCATATGTTCACAAATATTCATTTATGCAAAATCACCCAATATATATGCATAAACAATATTCAAGGATTAACCATTCAAAAAAGTTCATCAACACTAAGGTTGTGCTAGTAACGAATTTAAGATTCTAATATTGGAAGGCAAAGATACATATAATTGTTAATTAAAAATTTTTCTAAAATTTTATTAAAACATAATATCCCCTATTCTTAATTAAAAAACGATTTGTGTTTGGATCAACATATCCTGCATAGCTATAGATATCGTTCTCTTCTTCTACCAATTCAAGTGATTACAAATCTACTCTTTTATACACCTAAACAATTCATGTTTTAATCACATAATAATTAATTAGTCGACCCAACTCAGCTCGTTTGCAATCCTAACTTTAAGAAATTACATTACGCTACTATTATTATTACTATTATTGATATAATTGTATAGTATTTAAAAATAAAAAATAAACATTCATTTAAACAAAAAGTGAGAATTAATTTTCAAAGGACAGTTCCAAAATCTTATCGTTTCATTAACCCCTAATTTCATGTATCTTTTTGTATGTGTCATGACTGCGCATGTATTAATGTATAGAAACAATTTGATCAAGTTAAACATTCATGGAACTTCAGATCTGAAGAAGAATGCCAAAAGAAATCAATGTTAAAAAAATATATGACGGCATTTTTTCAACAACGTCGCTAAATATCGAGATCAGGGGTGTATATGTAATTTGCCCTAAAATTTTAGAGATTAGTCCCATAAAAAAAATAAACTTTTCTAACCAAATAATCAAAAATAGTCAAGAATCGTAGGACTAGTCCATTTGAATTACAATCCCTTTCAAACAAACCTGCCCATGGGGTAAATTGTTTTTTTACCCTCCAAAAAAAAAAACACTTCCCAAACACCACCAATGGAAAAACTTTTAGTGAGAAACCTTGGAAAAGCTCCAATATCTCATTTTAATTTTTTTAATTTTAAACAATTCAAAAAAATTCAAAAAAAAATCTCCATTAATTAGCTTCCATTTAACCATATAAAAATAAAAACCTAATTAGTCTATTATTTATTTGATAATCTCACATCGGGAGAAGAATGATAAAAGGAGATGTTTTACTCATATAAAGTGAATCTTATACTCCTATTTAATATTGTAGTGCTGTGCATGTTTCAATTCTATATAGTTTAAATTTTTAAATAAAATTTAAAAATTTTAATTAATTAATTTCTGTGTATTAGATTGAATCATTTTTTATTTGACTGATTCGTTGGTTTAACTACGATTTTAACAATTTTATCAAAATATGAGGGTTTAGATTTGTTTGATGGTGGTTTTATCAAAATATAATGGTTAGAATTATTTAATTTGAAATAAACTAAAATTGCTTGATTATAAATATAATGATTAATCTAATTAAAGATTGAATGACTAAAATTGCATGATTATAAATAAACTTTCCGCCTAAACAATTATTAACTTTTATTTTATAATTCCACATCGGAAAAAGATGAAAAAAATGAATTGTTTTACTTATATAAAGTAAACTTTATCCTCTCATTTAATATTGTAGTATTGTGCATCCTTCAATTTAAAATAGTTTAAATTTTGAAATTAAAATAACATTTAAAAGTTTCAATTAATTAATTTTTGTATAAGTTGGTTAGTCTTTTGATCTAACCAATTAGTTTAAACTATTTTCATTTTGACTGATTCACCGGTTTAACCGCGATTTCTCATATAGATTTTCTTAATTTTAAACAATTAAAAAAACCTTCATTGACTAACTTCCATTTAACCATATAAAAATAAAACTTTAATTAGTCCATGATTTATTTTAGGGAGATTTACCAATAAATCCCAAAAGTTGATCTTATGATCCAATTAGTTTCATTTTTTTTCTAATGTTCCATTTGGTCCTATCGTTTGTGAAAGGACGTATTTGCCATCAACGCACTTATTAATGTATGCATCACAGCTGTATGTGGGTGAATGAGGTGTAGGCGCGTGGGACATACTGGGTGTAAGATGCTGGAAGTTATTTGACTTGTGTCACGTGACACATATTGGAGTGTCACACAACAGTAAAGCATACTACAGGGTTTTGTATTCAAAGTGTGGATTTGGTGGGTGCCACACATCACAAAGTCTGCTAATCTATACACGCCAAACACAACCCAATTTCAACCTCCGCAATCCCACATACGTGAAATGGTAACCCGATTTGTCCATTCCCATTCCCACACCTATTGTGATTGGATATTTCGCAGAAACTCTAATTTTGTGATTTCGTAAGATTTGTTGCGTGATTCGGGAGGGGAGGTAGGAGCAATAGTGAAGGTTGATTAGAGCGGATTGTATGGTGTTGTGTTACCTTGGGCCAGAATTGGTGTGACATTGTAAATCGTTGAATGTATCGGAAAGGGTATGTCACGTAACCTAGTTTTGTAATGGGTGTGTGATAATGTGGTACTTGGTTATTTGTTAATTTTGTTCCGATTACCCGTGCTTTCAGTCATATTTATTTTCATTCATGTAGTTGTGGTGGTGGGTCTTGTTTTGTAGTGATTGTTTTGCATTGTAATTGTGGTATGGAGGTGTGTGGGTGTTGGGTGTGTGGTGGGGCAATGTGGTTGTGTTTGGCAATGATGTTCTGGTGTGGGGTAGGGCCTTTTATGCGTATTGTGTTTGGGTTGGGATGGTATGTTTGTGTATGCCTTTTTTGAATGGGGTGGAGATGTCGGTGTGTGACTGTGGTGCTGTGTGTTTTGTTGTTTGGTTGTTGATTGGGGGTGGGCCAACATAACTTTAGGGCATTTTGGTAGTGAACATGGAAAATAAGACCACATGGGCACAAATCTCCCTACTAGCAGGACTAAATGGAACAAAAGTATAAAGTTGAGACTGATTGGTTAAAGAATTTGTGAGATAGGATTTATTGGTAAATATTCTAAAAAATAAAATAAAATACATATATCTTTAAGTATGTTTAACATGTATTCTAAGGATACAAAGTGACCAAACCAATTTATAATCCCGAACCACATAGCAACTTCAAAATTTAAGTGAAGAAAATTATACTAAATTAAAATAATTATATATGATTTGCAATGAAAACAAAAAGATTAACCACAATGTCACTTGTATACACATTTTTCATTAAAAAAATTCTAACAATTGTAAGCAATTGGATTAAATTGAAACAAAATCATAAATTCATGGGCAAAATCGAGTCAATTAGAATTACAGGGATCAAAATAATACAAAAACCAAAACACAAGGACTATCAATGTAATTTGTCCAAAAAGAAAAGATGAAGTTAAGAATGTCCTGACAACAAGTTTCACATACACACTATGCACACATCAAATTTTCCAACATTTTACACACTTTTTCCTTTTCATTTTTGTAACGCTCCGAAATAATTAACATTAACCCAACTCATAATGGTGCTGCAATCAATCAACAATCTCATAACTTCTATTCATTATATCTTTGATCATTACAAATGAAAACATATGCAATATATATTCACCAATCCTAAATTTTGAATCTACAACATATACATGGATACAAGAGTAAAAACAGAAATAAAATCATGTAATGAAATATCTTAACGGCTAAAAGTTTCCAAGACAATGCTTGGTCATAACAAAATGAGTTTAAACTCAATACAAGTAAAGCCCTAAACTTAAACAAAATGATTACATCAAGAAACCAAAAATGAAGCCTTAAGCTTCAGGTCCTCCCAAGCTATGTCCTTGGTTAAGGCATATCATCAGTACCTGAAAGTTGTTTTCCACATAGGGTAAGTCACAGTCCAGTAAAGATACTCTAACACAGTATATGAATCTTACCAAAATTATAAGGAGAATTCACATGCATACCATTTGCCAAACATTTCTCGTTTTCCATCTCAAAACAATGCAATGCCAGATTATAAATCAATTCACGAAAATAATCCTTTTATAACAGAAGATAGAGCAGTGGATACAACGCACTAGAAATCTCTAGGTACATATCTGCCAGTAAGCTATACAAGTACTACCAAAGCCATTTTACCGATACTAATCGGAAGGATCGGCACCTAACTGCGCGGGTTTCTGGACTTTCACGAAGGACACACATGCCAACATAATAACACCACAGCCACACCCCCTAACCAGATTCACCACAGTATTCACTCCTTTTTCTTAAAATCAATACATTTACAATGTTCAATATGAAATGATGCTCAATGTACAATGTATGAGAAATTAGTTTCAATTCAACCTAATCCTCATGCAATGTCTACAACAATCAAGACTGTCCTCCACCGATAGCCCAAAACAGTTATTTCTATTCAAAAGATAATTTCCAATCAAAAGATACAATTTCATCTATTACAATGAGAGTGATACTACATATCCAACTGCACCATCATCATTAAGATAAATATTGTTCCAGTTTCACCATATCTAACATCATTTTCCATTTCCCCTTCACAATTCCAAATATCCAAAATCTAGGGCAAAACCCTCTTTATTTAAAAAAATCAATTTCAAGAAGAAATATCCACCATGCTAAC